CATAATAATTAACAACTTACAATATTTGAAAAATATATTAACTCTCAAAATTTCACATGAACCACATAAATTGGAACAAATGGGGGGGTAACATATATTATTTGAAAATTACGTTAAAAATACTATTAATTGCAACTTAAAGTATTTAAAAACATATGAATTAGAGCAGCTTGGGATCAAATTTCAAAATTTACAACGAGAGGAACTTGCTTTAGGTACTTAGGGTCAAGTTTAGAAATTTATAAAGACGGGACTAATCTGAAATCTAACCTTCATATACTACTTTATCTAATTTAATGGTTCTCATCATTAAACAACAAGTGTGTAGTGCCTTTTCCCTAACAAACTTTTCACTTCTCTGCGCAAGTATCTAAAATTACTTCTCTGTATGTCTTTAGATTCACTTTCCCTTAAAAATATTTTTTAATTTAAAACTCAAACAATCTCAAATTTAAATTAACACTGATAATTTTAAAAAATGTGATTAACTTTCGAAATTTCACATGTACTACATAAAGTGGGACAAAAAAGGTAATATATATTATTTAAAAATTACGTTAGGAATATTATAAATCACACATATAAATAGACAAATATAAATAGACAAATATATATATATATATATATATTTCAGCACATAAAATGAACAGGAGAATGTTGGTGTTTTAAATTTTGTGTGTTGAAATTCAACTACTTATAATTACTAATCATTTACATCCTGTGGTGAAATGTTAAGCGAATTAATCATTACGGTTGGCAATTGAGTCTACTTATACAACAATTATTTAATTACAACTTTAATTTTGACGGCTGCATATAGTAATTATTTTACCCTCTAAAATCAAACATTACAACTACAAGAATTTGAAATATGAAATTTTATATCTGCCTAGCCTTTTATGAAATGAATTCACGCTGCACCTAATTTTATTTCTATGAATATAAACCCTACATGTATTTCTTTTGTCTTTATGAGTTTGTTTGAATTATTATTATTTTTTTAGAGGAAAGAGGTTCATAGGCTAAACAAAAGTTAATACTCATTTTTTCATCAATACGAGTTTTGGTGCAGTGATGAGATTGTTCAATCCTTAACCAGAGGTTTTAGGTTTGAGCCTGGTATGGAGAAAATCATATTGGAAGTGCCACCTCCAAATGGACCCTGCAGTGCGCGATCCGAATTTAGTCAAGGCTTCAATACAAACTCCGGAGATTGAGTGAGAAACCGATTTTTTTTTTGAGAAAATACTTATTTTGTCTCAATTTATATGACACAATTCAAATTTCTTTATTTTAACAGTTAATTTGGACGGACAATCTTTAATTTTTTTGAAAAATAATTTATATTTTTAGAAACTACATAAAAATATTATAAGTCTAAAGATAAAAAAATAAAATATTTAAAATGCATATGAATAAAATGCGGTAATTTCTCTTTTGTTTTACTATTTGAATTTTGAATTATATCATATAAATTGGGAGAGAAAAGTATGTAAGAAATATAAATCATTTAAATAGGGAGGCCAATGTTTGTTGGAAGAAAAAGAATATTGGGACAACGTGATCCTTATTTCCTCTTTCTCATAAAATAATAAAACTTTTGTTGTAATTATCAATTGCGCATTAGCATTTTTTTTGGGTTTTTAGTATAATTTATATCCCTTTTAGGATTTTTGAACTATGGCATAAGAGTGAATTTATTCTGTACATACTCGAAGAATAGCTAGTAACTGCAGATTTCTCTGAGGTTAAAAAAATATGAATCTTTGGCCACCCCCATATATATTGGAGTATATATATATATATATATATATATATATATATATGCAAATAATATCCAATAATATTCTCAACTTAATTAGATACACTACCCTTTACATGTGGAGCATCATGCTTTTACATTTTTATATAAAATGAATTATTAGTTCAATACAAGTGATAAAAAAAAATATAAAAGAAAAGATCACTACAAATGATAATACATAATTCATGGAATTAATAATCTAAAAGAACAATAGCTTGCATTTTTTTTATTTTAAAAAATTGGAGTAAGGTTTGGAGAAATAGGAGAGGAAATTACCAGCAGAGAACTGAATTTTCACCTAACAAAATAAAAATTCAGATAACTAATCAATTGAGGTACTAATGCTAACTTAAAAATTATTCCCTTTGACAAGTACTTTTGTCAAAATAACTTTTTAAAGAAGTAATTCATATTTAATCCATTCATTTGAGAAGTATTTTTACGGTATATGATAAATAGATTGTGTTTGATTAATCTTTTCATAAAATACTTTGGAGTATTAATATAAGGAAAAACACATATTATGACTTATTTTACAGTTCATATTATCTAAAACAGAAATAACTTTAAATAAATTTAATGTTTTAATACAAATATTTTTTATAAGGACATAACTATTAACTTGAGAAAGAGGAAGTAATAATTAAATATTGTTTTAACCTTTTATAGCTTACCCTCTTCTTGGGGAACTCCCAAGAGTATCCTCGATACATTTGAGTGAAGTTGGAGTTACTTGTTGTTTATTTTTATTTGTCATTTTAGTATATTAAATTTTTTATTTATAATTATATATTTATTAAATTATTTTAAATATTAAATATTATAATTATATCTTTGTGACAATTATTATTTCTTAAGAATCATATATATTTTAAAATGAATAAATAAAAAATGAACAGAGAAAGCATAAATCTTCAGCTTGGACAATTAAAAAAACGAAAGCAGTTGTTGGTTGGCTTATCATTAACGACGGTGGTGCAATGAGTAGGGTTCCTCTTTTCTTAATGTTTTGAATTTGAGTATAAATATGAAATAATTTTAATAGGAAATATTCTCCTTAATTGGACTCTAATATAGATATTGAATTAAGAATAAAAAATCTAAAAAGAAGTTGGCTTTATTAATGTTGTATCCAATGCATCCAACTCCCTAGTCTTGTCGAAGTAATGATATGAACTAAAAAAAAATGATATGAGACTCGTGTGATGATGAAATCATCTATTAATTTATCTTTTAAAATTCCTTCCCTATAAAATAAGTCTACACCTATATATTATAGTTTTTAGGTGATGAATGAGCGTACTCATTTTAATTATAATTTTATTGATGTCGACATGTCTGCTTCTAGTTAAGGAATTTTTGAATTTTTTATTTTATTTTATTATTTATTTATTTTATTTTTTAGTTTGTTATTTATTTAAAAAATTACGTAAAAAAAATTATAAATTACAATAATTAACAACTTAAATATTTTAAAAATAAATTTAAGAAAATTAATTCTTCAAAATTTATTTATGTCACATAAATTAAAATAAAAGGAGTAATATATATCGTACTATGCTAGCACAGGCTTATGAGATTCATAGTTTTACAAATATGAAAATTAATATGTTGTCAAGAGTAAAGCTAGCCTTCAGAATACGAGTGTAGAATTCAATAATTTTGATTATAACTTTATATTTATATCAAAAAAATTCATCCCACATGCATTAATAATTTATATAGAATCCAACAAGTTAAAATATAATTAAGATTTAAAACTCATATAAATTTAAAAAATTTATTCCACCTCTACCCCATGCAATATGTAAATATAATATGGTCATATTAAATTAATTTCTTACCCTATATGTTGACACCTAGCTTAAAAACGTAACTCTTTTAGTTATAACTACCAAAATTAATTAATTAAAATAAAGTTAGAGGCGGAAATCAATTTCATTGAACCCACAATTAACCCTATTTAAAATATATGAATGAGCCTATATAGACACACAAGTTAATGTAGTTTCAGAGTGAATTAATTTTTCTTTTGAATAGTACATGTACTTCATAAAATGTACAAATTAACTTTCATTTTGTTTAAATATTTAGAATGACTAGACACGTATCTTGTTAGATGAAAGTTTTTATAATATATGTTGTGATTTGTGAAGTAGTAGTACAATTGTAGGTATATTCTTAAAGAAGTGTAACATATAAATATTTATGAGTCCGTATTTTTCACCAGAATATGTACACACAAAAGTAAAAAGGGTTTTTTTTTTTTAAAGGAAATTCCTTTTAATTTATTGGCTTATGTTTGAGGATAGATTAAAACAATAATTGATTAACTTGATTTTTTAAAAGATGAATGAAATGAAGTTGAGTTCAAGTTTTGTGTTATTGTTGAGAGTTTTTTTGAGAAAATGAAAAAAAAAAAACTCTTAGTGTTTGGGAATAAATTCAAATGATTTTTAAATATTGTTGAATAATTCTGATCTTTTTAAATCGTCAAAAATCAACACTTTTAGTCTTCTTTAAATATTTAACAAATATTGATTTTCCGATTTTGAAAAACCATGATTAAAAAAACAGAACCACTAGGAGTCCCATCAAATCTCATACACTAGGAGTAAATCACAACAACAAAAATTAAATCAAACACTAAAAATTAAATAGATTAAAAATAAATAGCAAACAATTACACCATGCTTAAAAAAAAGAATAAAAATTATTATCAAAACTACACCTCTAAATATGACTTCATATTAAAATTATACCTGAATTTTTATCTTATTGATAAGCATTCAATTCTGAAACTTTTTAATCCTGACTTCTCTTACCCAATGTAATAAAAAAAAATAGGTCCCTTGGTTAACAAGTAGAATATGAATAATTAATGAGTCTATATGAACAAAAATATATATTCTTCATCCTCCTTTAAACAATCATGCACAATCCACAACTGTCAAAATGTGTCAAAATCCTCTATATACATACCTAGCTATATAAATAGTGAAATTAATATTAATGACCCTAACTCTTTTTTTAATGTGTAATGCACATTTTATTAAATCCAGTCCCACAATAAATGATATTAGGATTAATTCCAAACTACCCCCAACATTAGACACCCCACATCTTCAATATCTTTTTTTCTCTATAAATAGATATTAAAATCTCACTTGTCCATATAGTTTAATCATCAAAAAGTACAATATGCAAGTTTTGAAAAGAGAAAAAATGGCAAGGCCAACAAGATGGAGTCCAACACCAGAACAACTTATGTTCTTAGAAGAAATGTATAGAAAAGGCTTAAGAAATCCAAATGCTACACAAATACAAAGTATTACTTGTCATTTGTCTTCATTTGGGAAAATTGAAGGGAAAAATGTGTTTTATTGGTTTCAAAACCATAAAGCTAGGGATAGACAAAAACTTAAGAAAAAACTTCTTGCACAAATGAATCAACAACAAATATTAGTTCAATATCCTATTGATGCTCATAGTACAACTACTACTAGCAACTCCAATAATAATAATACCCTCTTTCATTGTCCTTCTACTGATCACTACCAAATATGTCCTGGTGGCCTTCTTCAAGAGGTATACACAAAAATAGTGTTTTTTTTTTTTGGTTTTATTATTGCATGAGGAAACTATTTCATAAGTTTTTTCTATAGTTAATTTAAGTATCTTTTTTTTTTTTAACGAATTTATACCATTAGACAGAGAGTCTCTATCTATGTGTTTGATTTTGTTAGAGAATATACTTGTCCCTAGTTGATTGTGTAAGAAATTTAAGTAGTGTTTATGATGTCTTTGGTGACTATATATTTAAAGCGATAAGATTTTGGATTGGATGATTAGATTCTTTTATATGATATGATGTTAGCATTATATTTTGGTAATTATACATTTTCAATTAACGTGTAAACCTTAGAACTAAGTTATATATTCATATGAGATGATGTTAGAAAATACACTTATTTCTCATCGGTTATGAAATATTTTCAAAGAGACTTATATTCGTGTTGGCTATCATTTTGATGGACAATTGTTTATGTCAATTTCTCTTAATGCATTTATACTTTCAAGATCTTGATTTTAATTCTTATTTTTCTTCTTTTTGTGTTATATAGGGTGGAATCAAAGAAGCATCATCTCAAGTAATGACTTATGTATATCCAATGGATCTCTCAAGATCAACTGATCAAAATGTGGAAAATTGCATGATAAGACCCTATGGGAAAGATTGGATCGTGATGATGAACATTACTCCGAATAATTTACCATATTGTGTCGATCGACCCCTCAAAACCCTACCACTTTTTCCCATAACAACAACCGATGACCTCAAAGACCAAACAACATCTTCCACAAGTTTAAGTCTCTGAGTTTAAGTTTTATATATCATTATGAGTATAAATAATTTTTTACATCATCAGATTATTCCAGTGATACTATTTGTCATAACAAATAAAAATGATTTGATGGTGTAAATATTATTTATACTGACGATTTATATTGCTATAGGTCTATGTAATAAAAGTCATTTTGTATGAGCTCTATGCGTAGTAGTGCTACTATCTATTTTTATTTCTTTGTACCAATAGAATTCTTTGCTTAAAAAAAAATGATGGCATAATAAGATATAGTACCTAGTTTTACTGTTTCAGTGTGTACCTTGTAAAGAGAGTTGAATGTTATTTAATTGATGGTTTCTGTTAACAGTTTGTATAGTTGCACTTACCAGTAGTAGAAATATCTGAATTGTCTAATTCTATGTGAAAAGTTATTTTGCATGATGAGCTCATTGCAAACTAGTAGTACTTGACAAGGATTTAAATGTCATGTCAAATTAAAATTAGACAAACTAATGAAACAAAGTGAGTAACAAATATTCTCTTTTTGATTAGTCAAAGTTTTTAATAAGGTGGTCAAAATAATTCAATATGATACTTGCTCTGTTTGTATTTACTTGTTCATTATTTTTAAAATAGATTTTTATTTTTATTTGTCCCTTTTAACGTTTTGAGAAAAGACAATTAATTTTTTTCAAGATCTAATGCTAAACATCAATTAATATGAGCATTATGATAAAAAAAAATCTTCGTATCAATTATTATTTCTTAAGGAATATGCAAAATCTAAAATGTACAAATAAAATAAACGGAACGAGTATAAGATCAGACAAATGAACTTCAGGTTCAATTCTCACCGCCTCCCAAGAAGGAAAAAAAGGCATTTTCATGTCTTTTGTCCATGAAAAAGAATTAGTTAAACACAGAAACAGATCCAAATTTTAATTAATCTTTGATAATTGGTTCAAACTTTTGTACTTGTTGAACCTACAGTGACTTTTCTTGAGCCGTATATCAGAAATTATTTTTTTATTTAGTAAAAATACTTAAAATTTACATGCATCTTATTTTTTAAAATATTTTACTGATCAGTATAATGTTATTTTTGAAATTATAGTAATTTCTTCCGTGTATATCTATGTTTTGCTCTTTCCAAGCAAGAGAGCTTCTTGAGACATAACATATAATTAAAAAATAAAAAGTGTAATTTTTTTTATTTTCTCTGTTTCAATTTATATAACTAATTGATACAAACTTATAGAAATTTTTTTAAAAAAAAATTATGATGTAAAATTAATTATAATTTTTTATGTGAACTATAAATTATCTTATTAAAAATAAAATAAAATTATAGTTACTATATAGAGTATAAAAATATATCATTCTTTTAAATATTTAACTAGAAAAAATATGTCATTGAAACAAAAGAAGTAAGGGGTCGTTTGGTAGAGTGTATTGGAGAAAATAATGCTTGCATTAGCTTGATGTATTATTAGTACCTTGTTTGATACACTTTTTTAACCTATGCATAACTAATGCTTGTATTAGTAATTAATACACTTTATTGTGTATTGAAGAGTGTATTACTAATATCATCTATTTATATGCATTAGTAATGCAATGGGTTCTAATGCATGATTTAACATTATTAAAGACACAATTGTCCTCAAAAACGTTTTTTACATCCTTTCAATTACATTTGTGGAGGGTATTTTTGTAAACAAATATTTTTTCTAAAAAAATTATGTAATGCATAATATTTTTAGTACACCAAACCAAACATTGCATTAGAAAAATCTCTTCATAACGAATGCAAGCATAACTAATACAAGCATTACCAATGTAAATATTACTAATACACTATATTTTGCATTATTCTTATACAATACTCTACCAAACGACCCCTAATAGTGTAATCATTTTGATTAAACAATCACACACTTCAACGAAAAAGTGCCATAAAATATTGCCTGCATGCAGTTTAACTGTTTGAGTGTGTACTTATTAGTCTGTTACCAGTCTGAGTACTGGTAAATAGTATCTGAATTGCCTCCTCCATCGATTTTTTCATTAAGAAAATTTAAAATATATATGTGTAATTATATAAAGAAATCGAAGGAAATTTAATATATATATATATATAAAATGTATTTTTCTATCAAAGAAAGTAAGAATGAATCCCTTAGATCCGCCAGTGATTCAGCTAAAATATTCACTAAAGAATTCAAAATATGAAAAGGTAAATCCACAAATTGATCGAAGAAAATCCAACATTTATCATATATATATATATATATATATATATATATATATATTTATTTATTTTTATAATATTTATATAAATAATATAATTTTTCACTCAAGAAAATTTAGATAAACGTCACGTAGCATCAAGTTGGATCCACCCCTACGAAAGGCTAAAGCTGACACAAATACATTTATAATGAATGCATGCAGATTACTATAAATTGGAGTATTAATGGGCGTTATATATATGGGTGTGCTCGTAAGAGAAAAAATATCAGCTACTATAACAATTCATTATTCATGTCATGAATCCATCTGCTTCAATCTTGGTGGACAATGAGGAATTTAATACAACACAATTATCTCTCCGTTTATATTTATTTATTTTATGTTTTATGGATTTCGTAAAAGATAATGATTAGCATGAGTATTTTTATTTTATATTTATTTTAATTTTTAATTAATATATAATTTTATGTCTTAAAAAAATAATTTGGAGAATAAATAATTAATTTGAGGATATTTTTGAAATACTGAAAAAGTAAAATTAACGGAAGGAGTAATCTTTATACTAAAAACAGATTTGTTGTTTTCTTTTTATAGGGAATATTTGTCTCAAACGTAACTATCTGTTGGGATTATTAAAATTAGTTAATTTAAATTATCTATCATTTTAAAAGTTTTAGGAATAATTAATTATTTTTCTCATTTTATCATTAGTAGATTTTTGTCATTAGTATAGATGATATATATATATATATATATATAGAATAAACATTTGATGGAAAGAGATTATAATTAAGATATAAGAAATAAGAGAAATTTATCATTTTCTTTAATATACCCTCATCATAAATAACTAAGTAAAGTACTAATAGTCAAATGTAGATTTTTTCGACCTGATTATTAACTAAAGCACTAGGTTTACTTTGGGACTCAAAAGTGAAAGAATATATATATCCATTGATGAAATTCTACATACTTGATAAGAAAACATTTGATAAAATTCTTAAATTTGAAGCTTGAAGATGAGGAATCCTAGTTCTTGCTTGAGAAAACTTAAAACATATTGTTATGATGATTCTAAGTGATAGATGTGAATGAGCATGTTTAGTCGACTAAATTCTCCTTAATCCCACTTAGAATAGGCTACAACATCGTGATTTAGAAGTTAAAAGAGTGGAAAGGGTCCAAAACAACTTTAACTGATCGAAAAGTTATCGGAACATTCCACAGGGCCATCTATGGATTGTGGTTTGATCTACTGCCTGTAGGTCCCATCCGTGAAATTCTGGCTGAAATTTATAGTCTCAAAAGTTCATACTATGAGACCAATTTATGACTCATTGATTGATTTATGACCCATGGAAAGTAAACTAAAAATCAGCTTCAAAATTCATTTTATGAGCTTAAATTACGAATCGTAATTTGATATATGACTCATAGATTGAATTTGTAAAACTCAAATTTTGATTAAATAATTATAACTTCAAATATTAATTTTTATTTAAATAATTACACTCACAAGTCACAAGTCTCTATCAGTTCGACACTTGATTTAATGACTTCATTATTTGTACGATTACAAATATGTCTTTGGGAGCAATAGTTTTTTTAAAAAATTACCTAAAAATTTATAAATTACTTTGAAAGGATAAAAGAATTTGAAAAAAAAAAAAACAAAACCAAAAAAAGGTTGTTGTGATTTTTGTATTTTTTTAATTTAATAACGAGTTGACTTCAGGGCCGGCTCTATGCTTTCAAAAACAAGGCCTTTGCCTTAGGCCCCCAAATTTCGGGGGTCCCAAATTTTTGTCAAGAATAATTATGTGTTAAATTTTTTATAGAAAAATTAATTATTTATGAATAAAAAGTATAATTTTTTTTTAAATAAATTATTTTATCCACTTTAACATCTTTTGTACTTTGTTAAAAATAAGAATTAACAGTGAAAAGTGTTGAACAAAGTGAATTACAAATTCTTTTTATTTCTTTTTAAATTTTAGTTTGAAGCATTAGTCTAAGCATATTAAAATGAGGTATACCAAGTCATCAACTTTTTGAGTCAAATTCTATGATTCTAAACTTCCAACTCTTATCTTTATTTAATATTTATCAACTTATTACTTATATCATTATGTTAACAATACATATAATAATTGTCTCACTTAAAGGATGTTTTTCAATGTTGAGTTGATAAAATCTTACCTAAAACTAGTAACTCAAAAAACAATATTAAGTACTAATAATTTTCATCTTAATAGTGTATTTTTATTTTTTTTGAATAAATACGTATATGAAGTATATTTATATTTAGGCCGCAAATTGAAATTTTGCTTTAGGCCCCCAATTACATTGAGCCGCCCCTGGTTGACTTTTGTATTTTTAAGTATAAAATTAAGGTCCTGTTTAACCATTAATTATCATTTCATATAATAACTGGTTTGATGGAATTACGTTGTCATCTTATTTTTCTTTTCATTTTAATTTGCAATCACAGTTAGGTACCACTTTTATAATAGTTTTACTCAGTAACGAAGTTAGTGATTTGACAAAGGGTGTGTGCAAATTTTTTTCTTAGTTGTGCTAGTGGTGTGTAAAATTAAATATACACTCAAAATAACTAACATTTAACATTTGTATACCTCATATTTTTTTGGTAAAGGATGTGCATTGGACCACTCTTCGCTTAAGGTGGCTCCACTCATGTCTCTACCCTGTAATCTATATTTCTTGCAGATTTATCCTTGAAATTATTAATGTGTGTAACATTATATAACAATAAA